ATGTCACCTATATTCCCGCATGCCATGGAACCCAACACCAATTATCTAGACTTGTTTGTTCCATGTTAACCTGCAGGAGTGCAATTCAAACCCTTTCTGCTGGTCGACTCATTCTCGATCCTTGGTTCTTCAACCGTCTTTGTTCTTGGGTCGTGGAATGTGTGAAGCCCAGGTGGTGATGGCCCGCTCGCTCTGAACACCGAGAGGGACCAGTTCCTGTCGACGTACAATATTCAAAAGTGTTGTGCTTTCGGGGTACACCAATCCGCTCACAACATCAGTACTATCAATGCTGCTGCAATCTTTCTCGAAAAGCATACCGTAGACATTGGGAAGCTTAAAGGAAAGCCGAGTATAGGCAATCTGACTGAAACTGCACTGGCTCTCAACCTGATGCGGACACGCTCAATTAACCGGAAGTGCTCCAACGGCGTGCTCACATACATGCCTCAGCCAAACCACAGGAGGGGACAAGCCTAATCACAGGTTTGCCATGCTTTCTTTTTAATTAACATGCAACCCATCTCAAAGTTTCGCACCAAGGCGTGCAGTGCAAATGCTAAGCCTCAGGGAGTACGAGAAAAAAACCCATGGTTGCATCGGGGCAGCCACTTCGCCGCTCAACCAAAACGGTCACACACGCAGCACGTGCAAGGCGATGGCTTCACGGCGATCCCGCTCCGCTGGTCCAGGTCGTGGCTCAGAATGGCGATTTCATAGATGCAGCGCAGAATTCGAGGTGGCTGCAGCATGCGGGAAGCTCACCTTCTTCAGCAAGCCAGTCACTGAATGATTTGCGGTCCAGTCCTTGAACACTTAAATAGAATCAAGTGTCTGACGGATTCGGTTGCTCATGTCGTCGGATTGAGTGGTGCAGGAAGATGTCACCGTAGGTGATAGGCATGAGTTGGTTGATGTGCGTCAGACAGCTCTTTGAATACCGATGTCAAAGTGTTGGCAAAGAAGACCCCGAAACCTAGAATGCACACGGCATGCCGTGCCGATGCACAAATGAAGAATCCGCACTCTTCTCAGTGCGAGTGGGAGAAAGATACATGTGGTGCTCACATCCGTGGCAGACTAGCCCAACAGGGCCGCTACGTGAAAGTTTGAAAGCTGAGCTGACACCCTCCCAGCTAAAGGACCTAAATCATGGGTTTCGCTCGTTTTTGTTCCAGGCAAATAGATCGACCTTTACTTCCTCATTCTTGTGACTTAGGTGTCTTGCGGATTTTATTTTGGACAAGCCTCACTTGCGCCAGTGGCGAAACTGAGTTCTTTCTTCATCAAACATTTTTGTTTTACCGGGGAAAGCACATGTTCAATCAAGCAAAAGGCTAACGCTGCCCAGTAAGTACAGTCAAGAATTGACATCGCAAGAGGCCAAGAGGGATCATTGTTTTGACTGTTTCTAAGGGGTATCAAAGTCACACACTGGGGTCTAGCATGCCTCGACAGATGTCGGATCGGTGGCTCCGAAAGGCTCCCTCTTTAAAAGCACATTTCGTGATTGCTGTTGACCCCTCTGCAAAAAGGTTAACTTAAGCGGGTCCCATGGTCCAATGTTTCACCCAAGAAGTTAAAGTTCAAAGATCCGATGCACAATCGCCATACGAACGACTTTGGACTTTGGATACGTCGAATTGGACTTCAAAGAGCCATACGTTACTGAGCTGTCCTCAAATCCCCCGCAAAAACCAAACATCACTTTTAGTGGGCTAAATGGAACACCTCACTCAACACTAAAAAGAGCTAAAAAGCTAAGGAACCGCATGGCTGGGAGCCACCAAGCTAAGGGGATGCTCCGCCCTTCGAACCTCCACGACCGAAACCGCCCGAGCTCCCGGCTCTGCGGCATCCGCTTGCACGGCGATGGGCGTGGAGGAGCTGTTCTCGACCTCCGGCCACTGGCGACTGGCGTGGATGAGTTTTTCCTGCGCCAGCGGCGTTTTCGCTGGAGCCCAACTAAACCAATCCCGAAAACCAGCAAACCTGGATCGCCAGTTGCGATCGGTTTTCGTTTTTCCCCATGCACTTTACCCCAAAAACCGATCACAATGACGACATGATGGCTTCGGCTTTCCTGGTATTCCTTTAAAGCCACCAAAAAAGGGGTGCCTCAAAAAACAGGAACCACACCCACAGGCTGTGCGTCCAAGTTTGGGGGACCAAACTGGATTCGATCTTGTGGAACCCGCACCACCCCCAAAAAGGAGTCGGAAGAAGGAAGCCCATGGAGGGATGTTTGACTCTTGATTCCATACTCATGGCAATCCTCTAGGTTCATTTCATGGTCACACAAGCTGTGAGTGAGAACATAGAGGAATCTCTGAGTGGGGTCCGTTTCTTCTCAGGAATCCAGGAATCTCCTTTTGGGTTCCATGTTGGTTTTCCGGAGCAGATCTCGCTTCACATGGTTTCAAGGGGTGAAGCTCCGTTTGGATGTGCACCAGATCCATGGGCTGTCTCTGGCTCAAAGATTCGACTCTTTTGGTTCACTCAGATGCCCAGTAACCATGGGGAAAAAGGAATCGGCCTCCTTTTTGTTGAGTTGGTTGACTTTAAAGGAATCGGAACCCTTACCCAAAAAAGGAGACAAAGGGCACCGCTGGGCAACTGGGGTCAAATTCCAAATCGCCAGAAAGCCTCCCCTGCGCTGCCGCTCGGCGCTGTCTATTTTTTTCCATCGCCGCTCGCTGGTACGAAGACCGAGGCATTTTGAGCGACGCTCTCTGCTGAGCCACGCTTGACGCAGGTCCACGGATGCCATCCGAAAGAGACATGCAACAACCGTATAGCACGCTTAGAGCACTGGCTAGAGGAAGTAAACACTCTATTGCAAGGACTTACACAGGTGACTTGAATGCGACAAAACCCAAAAACACTACAGCCCGGCTGCCTTGCAACAAACCAAGACCCATGGCGCCCACGTGGGACATGCGAGTGATCCCAAACCTCCAGTGGATTTCCGGGGAAAGGGGCCACTTTTTGTATGGGAGTTGATTTTCAATGACCCCTCCCCAACTTTTGTGGCTTGATCGAAAGGGAATCCATACAACAACTTGGCCCATGAACATGGGGTACACAGAAAACCGCGTTCTGGTGCTTCACACTTCGTGTCGATTTTTGAGGGTACACTTTTTAGTGGATTTAAACGGACACCAAAAGGAGACCAGCCATTTTGGGCCATTCTTGGAGAATACTCCGCAGGTCTGGGATGAGAGACTCGCGCGCATTTCGCTGGAGGTTCACCGATTCGCCCGATGCGATTTGCGCTTCTTGGACCTGGATGCCAGGGTTCGTGTGTTTGAGGGAAAGGGAAGGGCCAAACACAAGTGTCATCACTAGGCTGGGACCCCAGCAAAAAAAAAATGTTTTGCCTGGTTAGTGGAAAACAAAGGGGACCCCAAAGAAGCAAAAAAGCAAAAAGGGGAGCTAATTCTGGGGAAGATCATAGGAGAGGAACGTGTGTAGATCATTTCAGGCCCCATTCCCCTTTTCAAGTTGGTAAGGCCCTCCAAATTCGTCTGCGATTTTCGTCTGCAAGTCGGGAATGGGGAAAAAGCCGGCATATGACTCCCAAAAGCAACGGCCAAAAGCGAGCCGCGCGGGGGCCATCTGAAATAGAGGGCAATAATGGAATGGACTCAAATACATGAAAAGGCCTTCCCGATGTCCGTTGATTGAATCATTTTGATTGAATAGAAGGCCAACGGGTGACATGTGGGGCCATCCGACACCAGAGGTTTTTTGCAATTGGGCTCAGCAAATTTCGAAACTTCCGGTTGGGCCAAAGTTGACACTCCAACTGGAGCAACAAAAAGGAAGTGACATGTGGGAAGTGGTCCCAAGCGCAACTTAGGAACCAGCTGGATGTGTTTGCCCACTGGACCAGCCGAAGCCCAACGTGTGTGTCTGTGACTTTTTAAGGGTGCCTTGATTGCACTTGGTTTAATTGGAAACCACGAGGCACACCACCATTTGTTGGGGGTCCCGGCCCACATGTTTGCCATGTGGGCGTTTTCTGGGCGTCCATTCAGCCCGGCAAGTCCCATATTGATTGCGCACTCCAAATCAACCCAGGCCATGCTAAACTCGATTGCTTGACCCAACTTTCACGGTCCAACTTCCACCCACAGAGAACCCGGCTGTTGAAATGTGGGAAAGGGGAGAAGGGTGAAATCCACGAAACTGGGTCAGCGAAAACCGTCCGATGGGTGTGTCCTTTTTGGAGCTCTAAAGGAAACCAAAAGGAACCCGCTGTTGGCGGGAGTACCCTAAAAAAAGACAGAAACACACCCACATGGGTCCATGAAATCCTGTACCCAGGCTTTGAAGAGTCAGAAGGATCCCGAAGGCATGCTCGAGGTTGCAACAACAACCCCCGGCCCCAGAAAGAATCCAAGAAGACTCAAAACGAGAATAATAACTCACTTCCAACGGAGTGGATGGCCCAAAGAAAAGTTCAAACATTTTGCTTACCACTCAAATTGTGAGTCAAATTGGAACTCAGGCAGTGAGACCAAACAAAGGCCGTCTTGGTGTAGGCACACAACCCAGCACCCAACCAACCCGCTTCTTGGGTTGGAGAAGCCCAACGTGCGCAACGTGCGCGTTTTGCCGAGACCCTGTTCAGGTTGGTTTCAAGAAGCCAAACGGAAAGCCACCATTTTGTGTGGTTCCCATATTCTAGCACATACAGAACACGTTATTTTGACGGTTTCTAGAAGCTAGGGTCAAAAAACCGCCAGGCACTGGGAGCACTTCCCTTACGCTACCGCTTGGGGGTGTGACTTCGATGGTGGTAAAATTATGAGGTCATATATTTCCATTTCGTTAAGACCCCTGGGGAAAAATATTTTCAGTAGTGATAAATTCCTTTCAAAGCCAACAAAGGAAACGAAAAGACAATATTCATTTCAGCAAATGGACGTATAGAACATTCGATTTCAGACCCTGGCAAAAAAAATATCCCCACGCCCGCGCTGGCTTTCCGCGCCTCAGAAAAAGATCCGCCGCCGCTTGCTCTGGGGCTTGCCGCCCTGCAAACTGTGAACAGGTGGGTGTGTTTTTTTTTGGGGGTACCCGTACTTCTCGGTGGCCTTAAGGGAAACCAAAAGGCGGGCGTCTTTTTTTTTTTTCTGGGTCCGTTTGGGGGTTCGTTTACAGAACAACCAAAGGACACCAACCCCTTTGAGCGGTATTATTCAGAGACCAAGCCAAATGAGCCAATACTCACCAAGCGGGTTGGCAAAACAATCATATCTAACTTGTTCCTGTACCGGCAAACTCACTTCTGACCGAGTGGATCGGGCAAACCAACCTATGGACTAATTGTTTACAACTATCATGGTACTCCCCCCCCAACACGTTTCGAAGCGCTTTCAGACGCTCACCAAAACTCTCAGCTAGGACTTTTGCACATCCTCTTATCCTGGTTTGCCACCTCCTCATATAGCTCGCAAAGGAGTACTTCACCTTGCCATCCAGTCCATCTCCCCGTACTATTCTGACACGCCGGTGGATGAAGTAGCCAGAAGGGATCATGGCATGGTTGCTCTAACCGCTCATAGGGAGATGAGATGGAGTGTTCCCTTGTGCCCGGTTGCAATAACATGCTACGTGGCTTCAATGTCATCGAATGTCATGCTACTGTGAGTGGACAAATCCTGGCCTAGTTGGTAGCTGCATGTCCCCCTTTTTCCCTTGACTTTACCGTCACGTGCGTAGTGAGTAACAATCAATCAGCAGCTGTTACCCTACCCAACCAATACACTTAGCACCCATTTGGCGATGTCAACCCGGAGGGGCAATTGGCGACCTGCAGGTGTTGCTGCTGGATGCGAGGCCCAAAATGCTGGGGATGCAACAGCCTTTGGCGCAACACAGGCTGCAGGTTGCCAACCTGCAGGTGTTGCTGCTGGATGCGAGGCCCAAAATGCTCAAAATGCTGGAGGTTGGCGTGTTGCTCCAACCAGGTGTTGCTGCTGGAGATGCAACAGCCTTGGCGCAACATAGGCTGCAGGTTGGCAACCTGCAGGTGTTGCTGCTGGATGCGAGGCCCAAAATGCTGGGGATGCAACAGCCTTGGCGCAACACAGGCTGCAGGTTGGC